AGCCTGGACTAAGGGTGGGAACAGAGATTAGCCACAAAAGGGCAGAAGAGGTCTTCTGAAGGTGATGGGTATGTTCTTAAAATGGATCGATGGGTGTCCAACTCTAAAAGTTTGCTAAAAATCATTGAGTGGTAATAGCGGGGTTCCAGACACGTTAAACAGGTGGAGCATAAATTATAATGCAACAAAGCTCTAAAAAAAGAAAGAAGGTAATGAATAAAACAATCTCTCAAAAAAAAAAAAAAAAAAAAAGGTAAAATCGTCGACGGTATTAAGTGCTGCAAAGAGACTGAGTAAACCCAGAAAAGACTCCATGAATGAGGCGAGTCGCTGGTCTTGGTGGCCTTGCAGAGAACACAAGCCAACAGAAGGGAAAAGAGACGCATGGTCTGCCAGGTAGAACATCTAAACTAGGGCAAGAGTGTCTTCTCTCACAGTTGTGTTTTAAAGCTGAAGAATTTCCCTATTAGGTTTGGAAAAGGCAGGATTTTGGGAAGTCAGAGTTTCCTTCAATTAACCAAGTACCACAGAAGCCTTAGAGAAATGTAAAGTTGTGTCCTGTCAAATCTTCTGCGCATTACTACCTAATTAGTAAGAGTAAGTCTTACTATTGCAGGACAGAAATCAGAAAGTTCTTGCTGGGGTCAGGGAGGGGGTGGCTGGCTGACAGGAGGACTCTGCAAGGTGAGAAAATCATGCATCTTGTTTGGGTGATTACAAAGATGCGTACAATTGTGAAACTCACCCAGGTGTGCATGTTAAGAACTGTGCATTTTCTCTTGTGTGAATTGTGTCTCAAAAAGCATGGAATATACCTGAGTCCTGATGTGACTGATGGAGATGGTATCTGAGATTTGTTGCAAAGTGAATGAGTATAGTGTGGCTAAGGGTATCTTCCAAAGGCAGCCACAACTCATCCTTTCCCTCCTGTTCTGCTGGCGACCCTGATGCTCCTCCCTCCTGGGGGAGTCTATATTCTCTCTCCTTAAAACTCTGCAAGCTTGACATTTTCTTGTAACCAGGAGAATGTGCTAACAGTGGTTTTTGAGGCTGGGCCTTGACCGGTAACGCAGTCCTGCCTTGCTCACTGGAACCCAGGCTGGTGCTTGGAGCCCCGAGTTGCCACGTCATGCTCTCAAGCAGCTCAGCCACCTGGGGAGGCCACGTGGAGGTGCTGCCGTCAGCAGTCCTGGTCACGAAGTGCTCGACTTGGGAGTGAACAAACCTATAGGTGATTCTAGCCCTGGCCTTTGAGTCTTCCCAGCTGAGCCGCACGCCGGCACACAGCAGCACCATCAGTGACCAGCCCTCTGAGCGGCCATCCTGCACGTCCAGCGCAGTGGAGCCTCTAGAGGACTGCAGCCCCGGACAACATTCAGCTGTAGCCATCTGGGGACCACAAGTGATAGCTGCCAGGTCAGACCTGTCCTGAATTCCCGACCCTTAGAATTGTGAGAAAATAAAACCATTGTTTTAAGCTAAGGAAGTTTGGGGTAAGTTGTTATACAGCAGTAGTAACCAGCAGAGGGTAAGTGCTGGGGCAGAGATGAGGTCTGATTGTGGGTTTTAAGCGTGGGAGCCCTGTGATGGGGGTATAGCATCTTGTCTTGCTACTTATCTCTATACTTAAAATACTGCATTACGAAGTCGTATACAGACATTAAAGAGATTAATACACCACAAATCTGCAATCAGCCAGTTCCAAAATACTAGAAATCCTATTAAAAAAAAAAAAAAAAAAAAAAAGGAAGGGCGCCTGAGTGGCTCAAGTCATTAAGCATCTACCTTTGGCTTAGGTCATGATCCCAGGGTCCTGGGATTGAGCCCCACATCAGGCTCCGTACTCAGCGGGAAGCCTGCTTCTCCCTCTCCCACTCCCCCTGCTTGTGTTGCCTCTCTCACTGTCTCTCTGTCAAATAAATAAATCTTAAAAAAAAACAAAGACCCTAATTTTTCTACAAATAAATGACATCATGGTGCATGGGTGGCTCATTCGGTTGAGCGTCTGACTCTTGATTTCAGTTCAGGTCATGATCTCAGGGTTCTGAGATCTAGCCCTGTGTTGGGCTCAGTGTTGGATGTGGAGTCTGCTTAAGATTCTCTCTCTCCTGGGGCACATGGGTGGCTCAGTCGGTTAAGCCTCTGCCTTCGGCTCAGGTCATGGTCTCAGGGTCCTGGGATCCAGCCCTGCATTGGGCTCTCTGCTCAGCAGGGAGCCTGCTTCCCCCCTCTCTCTGCCTGCCTCTCTGCCTACTTGTGATCTCTGTCAAATAAATAAATAAAATCTTAAAAAAAAAATTCTCTCTCCCTCTGCCCCTTCCTGTCCTCTAAAAAATTAAAAAAGAAAAAATGGCATAAAAAAAGGAGGGTGTCCTCGTCAGCTTGGGCTGCTATAACAAAATAGGGGTAGCTTCAAAATGGGTAGCTTCAACAACAGACATTTATTTGTTACAACCCTAGGGGCTGAGGACCCCATAACCTGGGTACCATGATTTGGTTTTCTGAGATGATCCCTTCTTGCCCTGCAAACAGCCATCTACTTGTGTCTTCACATGGCTGAAGAGAGGGGATTACGGTTTCTTCCTCCTACTGTAAGGACACTGATCCCATCCCAGGGGGTCTACCCTCATGAACTCAACTCAGCCTGATCACCTCTCAAAGGCCCCACCTCCGGATACCATCCCACTGGGGACAAGGCCTTCAACACGTGACTTTTGGGGGCATACAAACATTCAGTCCATAGCAGAGAGAGCTGTACAAGGAGATTTGAGTGACCTAGGTACCAAATATACTGTGGGCCTGGGCTAAGTCATTCTTGAGATAACCAAATTGGGTATTAGATAATGAGGAATCAACGGTAGTTTTCTTAGATGTAACAAGGGTCTTGTGGTGATGCTAAAACAATCCTTATTTGATAGAGATCGATGTTGCATTATTTATGGATAAAATTATGTCTGAGATTTGCTTGCAAATACACAGGAAAAAACTGAGGTAGACAAAACAAGGTGACAAAATGTCGAAGCCGAGTGATGCATGTATGCGTACTCACAACACTGTTCTATTTTCACGTTGTCTGAGTATTTCCATGCTTTTTTTTAAAGAGTAGAGTGTGCTTATTTGCAATAATTTTTTGAAAAAGAAGAGAAACTTAAGGGACATTTGTTTATCAGCTACTGGAAACATACTGAGTGAAAAAAGCCAAGTTCAAAAGGTCTCATGCTTGGGGTTAGTGAAGGCAGGGAGTGGGGAGGCTGCAGGGGGAGAAGGGTATTGCTATCAAGGTATAGGGAGAGGGGGTCTTTGTGGTGATGAAACCATTCTGTACCTTGATCTTTGTGAGGTTTGCATGGACTAAAATGGCACAGCACCCACATTGTGCCATAATCAGTGTCTTGTTTCATTGTCCTGTAGTTACAGATGTTACCACTGGGACCACTGGCCAAACTGGGTGAGGGTGTATGGGGACTTCTCTGTACTTTTGCAGCTTCCTGTGAATTATAGCTTCAAAATTAAAAGTTTAAAAATGTATCAAAATTGGGGCGCCTGGCTGCTTCAGTTCGTAGTGTGACTCTTGGTCTCAGGGTTGTGAGTTTGAGCCCCACGTTGAAGGTAGAGGTTACTTAAAATCTTTTTAAAAAACTTATAATAATTAAAGTAATGTAGTTCCAGTATAATATTAGATCAATGCGGGGTGCGTGGGTGGCTCAGTCGGTTAAGCATCGGACTTCAGCTCAGGTCATGATCCCAGGGTCCTGGGACTGAGCCCCATTTGGGGCTCCCTGCTCAGCAGGGAGTCTGCTTCTCCCTCTGCTCCCCCCGACCCCCAGCTCATGGTTTCTTTGTCATTCTCAAATACATCAAAATGTTTTTTAAAAAGTGACTGCAAGGGGTGCCTGGGTGGCTCAGTGGGTTGAAGCCTCTGCCTTTGGCTCAGGTCATGATCCTGGGGTCCTGGGATCAAGCCCCCCATCGGGCTTTCTGCTCGGCGGGGAGCCTGCTTCCCACCCCCCTCGCCTGCTTCTCTGCCTACTTGTCATCTCTGTCAAATAAATAAAATCTTTTTTTTTTTTTAAAGTGACTGCAAAAGGATGTATTTTCATATGTGTCCTCAGTAGGGACCATCCTTCTAAGCTTCAAATAAAGATATTGCAAAGATATATTTGAAGGATTTGACTACATTGAGAAGTAAAACATCTCTCCAAACCCTCTATAAACAAATGGTAAGGTCAAAAAGTATTTGCAAACAGGAGTCAAAGTATACTACACAACAGATCAAGTGCCCTGACATACTGTTGGTGGAAATACCAATTTCCTTGAAGACGTCTGGTCATATGGGAGAGAAGATTCTAAGAGGGCCCCAAGATCCCCACCCCCAGTGAACAAGCCCTGTTTGGCCCCCTCCCACTTGAATGCAGGCAGAGCCTGTGAATGAGACAGGATGTCACTCCTGTGATATGGTTAGTGATCCGCTGGTTCTGACTTAATCAAAATGAAGTTTATCCGGGGTGAGCTGGACCTAATTGGAGAAGCCTTTTACTTTTTCTTATTTATTTTTAAGATTTTTATTTATTGGATGGACACAGCGAGAGAGGGAACACAAGCAGAGGGAGAGGGAGAGGGAGAAACAGACTCCCCGCTGAGCAGGGAGCCTGATGTGGGGTTTAATGACTGAGGCTTAATGACTGAGCCACCCAGGCACCCCTGGAGAAACCTTTTTAAAAAAGGTAAAAGTGCAGTGGTACCTGGGTGGCTCAATTAAGCATCTGACGCTTGATATCAGCTTGGGTAGTGATCTCAGGGTCCTGGGATGGAGCCTCAAGTAGGGCTCCGTGCTCAACAGGGAATCTGCCTGAGGACTCTCTCCCTTTCCCTCTGCCCCTGTCCCCACTGGTGCGCCCTTGCTCCCTCCCTCTCAAATAAATAAATCTTAAAAAAAAAAAAGGTAAAAGTCGGGTGTGCCTGAGTGGCTAAGCTGGTTTAGTGTCTGCCTTTGGCTCAGGTCATGATCCTGGGGTCCTGGGATTGAGCGCCATGTCAGGGTCCCTGATCGGGTATTATTTCAATTTAAAAACAATTTTTTAAGTTGTCTTGTGAAAAGAGCTGTGAGGAACCCCCTGCCAGCAGCCAGCAACAAAGTAGGGACTTTAGTCCTTCACTCATAAAGAAATGACTTCTACCTAGCAACCTGAATGAGCTGGTAAGGCCCCAGGTCCAGACGAGGGTGCTGCCTGGCTGACGGCAGGACTGGAGCTGGACTCTGGACCAACAGAAACTGGAATGATAAGTGGATGTGCTGTTCTAAGGCAGCCACTAAGTTTGCAGTGATTTGTTAAGCAGTAACTGAAAATTAGTACAGGTAATACATCTCAAGAACCCTAAAAAAATAGTTGTTCCCAAATGAAATCTTAAAACTCTAAGATTAAAGAAGTCTTGTTTTGAACTAGAGAACCTCAAAATGTAAAGATGTTAGTTGTCAATCTATGGAATCAGTGACCACAGGTCTTTTTGGGAACTGGAGGAAATTATTCTAAAGTTTACCCAGGAGAATAAAAATGTAAAAACATCAGGAAACCGGGAAATGGGAGGTGTGAGAAGGGCTGATGTGAAAATGTCACTCCAGCGAGAGCAGAGGTGGCCATGCCGTGTCCCACATTCACGTGTGAGCTGTGTTCATGATGAAGGCACCGCGTGAAAGGCCTAGCAGACAGACAGAACCTTCGTTCACTCTGTGATGCTGGGACAACTGACTCGACAACCAAGAAAACAACTTAGTATTTTTGCCTCAGTCTTTACTTGAATTCTACATGAATCCAAAAATTAAACAGAGAGGGTAAAACTGTTAACAGTTTTTATAGGCTTGGTGCAGGGAACACCTTTTTTCACTGGAAAGGAAAGAAGGAAGGAAAAGAATCCTTCCATATGCAATTTTTGCTTGTGTATTATTTTTTAAATCAAATATCTGTTGCTTTTTAGTCTTAATATATAAAAGAATGTGTAAATTAATATAAAAAATGAAACCCCCAAATTTAAATGCAAAATATGAAATGCAGGTTTTGACACTTATAAAAATAAAAAGGACACTCTCAGTGCCTAGTACATACCATGGGCCATTCACTGGGAGTTAAAACAATCAAAGCTGGGGTGCGGCCATGAAGACGGACAGAGTTCCCACCCTGGCATCTCCACCAGCTGCCTTGAGGACACGACCTCTCAGCGCTCAGTTCCTTCATCTGTAAAACAGAGCTCATAAGAGGCCCTACTTCAGGAAGCATGTGGCTTGGTATTCACAGTCCTTATTCTAGGCTCACCATGATGTCTGACCGAGAACTGGACCCCAGGCGGCCGAGTTCACGAGGCATTTTAAGTGGGGCACAAAGCACAATGAAAAGCAACAGGATCAGCGTGGTAGCATTTTTGGAACAGTTGTGTGACAGTGTGATTACTCGAACTCTACCTGCACACACCTGTACACAGAGAGAGCACTCTCTGTTGGGCTTTAACAGAGGCCTGAGCCTCCAACCCGGAGCCCTGTTGAGGGGCGGCTGGGAGATGCAGCAGAGAAGGCGGGAAAGCACTTCTGCTTAGATATTTTGTAACTTTTGACAAACTTGGCATTTCACAAGTCCTATGCAATCCTTGTAAGCTTAAGTTTAAGAAAATGTTGTGGCTGATTCCAGAAATGTTAATTCTTGGGGCACCTGGGTGGCTAAGTCAGCTGAGCGTCTGACGCTTGGTTTCAGCTCAGGTTGTGATCTTAGGGTCATGGGATTGACCCCACGCTGGGCTCCGTGCTCTGCAGGGAGTCTGCTTGAGAATTCCCTCCCTCTCCCTCTGCTCACACTTGCTCTCTAAAATAAATAAATGTTTTTTTTTTAAGGAGAAACATTAATTCTCCCGCATTCATTGATAAGGTTCTGTACAGAGAGGTGGTTTTTTTGGTTTTGTTTTGTTTTTAACCAGATTAAGAATCCTTTGGAAACTGTATCCGAACCTTCACCTCTGGGGCAGACCCTGCTTCTTCTTTTCTCTCTCTGTCCCCTTCCTTCTTTGTCTGTCCCAGAAGCTGGCTGGCAGCTCGGTCTCTCCACAGTGGATGGTGGAAGTGTGTCTCCCTTCTATTTCCTGAAAGAGGGTGTCTAGTATTCACTACCCTCGTGCCTGAGGTGTCAGCTGGTTAGAGCTCTGGAACACTCATTTACTGTTTGGGCTGCCTTCGACCTTGCCCTCCTTTTCCTGAACCACACATCGAATTCTTTTGCTTTGGCCCTAACACAGGCATTGTCCACCTTGTAGAAGAGCTTTTCCACAGACACATTAAATACCTGGATGTTTTCTTCCTTCTAGAGAACCCTGATGGAAAGGTAAAGGTGAGCAAGAAGAAAGTTGTCATTCCACAGATCATCATCACTAGAGCCTCAAAAGAGACTCTGACCAGCTACAGTTCCATCGGAAGCGACGAGCAGAGAACCATTAAGGAGCAGGTTGAATGGACCCCCTACTACCGACACAGAAACCCCAGTACAGTAGATGCCTATCATTTCCGAGAATAAACAAGCACTCTGAGTAGCTGGCATTGCTCACTGTGCTCTGAGTCTCAGCCATGATGGCAGAAGGGCCATCCTGCCCTGTGGGAAGCTGCAGTTGCCCCTTCTGTAAATGAGATTCCTCTCAGTGACTACCTTGGTCTTACCTTCCCCAGAGCTGCTGGCAGCTTGGCAGAGGGCAAGAGGGACTCTGGCTCAGAGACCGAACTTTGTGGTGATAAGTGAATTAGTAGACCTCTGTTGTCACTGGCTCTGCAGGGCGATGAACCAGCGGCACGCAGCATCTCTCTCTCTTGCTGGGCAATTAAAATCGTTTCTGTCCACTTCTGAAGGGCGTGGTGCAAGGACTCAGCAGTTACAGCGAGTGAAATGTCCCCTGTACTTGGAAAAAAGGCTGGACTCTGGGGACTCACTTTCAAGGCATCAAGTCTCAGAACAGGAAAGTGCAGTCACCAGGAGAGGCCGAAGGGCTCCTACCTTGACTCTAAGATGACCCAGAGTAGTAAACGATCCAGACGAAGAATGTGGAATCGGGGCAGGGGTCAGACATGGCACTTGGAACTTCCGCGGTGGCCTTGTGAGAGCTGCTGTGGGAGGAGGGGAGTTGAGCTGACCACTTCCTGGGGCTGTGGCTACCACCCGCCAGTGAGGGGCCTTTCAGGGACCCCTGCTGGCCTTCCACCCTCACCAGCAGCTCATAGCCGAGGCTCCACTCTCCTCCGGAGTGGCTGGGGGGGATCCGGTCCGAGGCCTCTAGTCTGGTAACGGTGTGTGTGTGTTCCCGTCGTTCCTAGGACGGTCAGCAGGCTGCACGCTCGGTCTTTCTGTCGCCATTCATGAGAACCGACTTCCAGTCGGAATAACGCATTCCATTTTGGCAGTGTTCAGTGGCCGATTCTCAGCCCCACTATTTGTACTTACGCGACACGTTTCCCCGTCTTGACTCGCACCCGAATACTGTGCGGGAAGATGAAGCCCATACAGACGAGATCTGACTCCACCGGGTCAGCGCGGCCGCCAGCGCACTGCCCCCATCCGCCCTAGGAGCGGCCCTCCTCCCGCCGTCCCAAGCATCATGAGCAGACAACGTGCGAACTACATGGACTCTGCTCTCGTTGTTAGCTAGAAGCTGTGCTTACGAACGAATCTGAAAAGGGCTGGGATGAAGTGACCTCGGCAATTTAAGTTAAAACCAGTGATTCTAAGGATTAATTTCTCAGTCACCACGTACGCCCAGCCGCTCTCCCAGCTCCTTCCCCCGGTTAGCGCTGCGCCCCCGGCTCGCCCGCCCCCTCCCCGCGCCCGGCCTCCAGCATCGCTCACCTCGTCCGCCAGCCTGCGGCGGGGACGCGAGGCTCGCGTCCGACTGGGCCCCGCAGGCGGCGGCCGCTCCACCCGCACCAGCCGGGAGCGCGGAGTCCTGGCCGCCCCTCCCGCCGCTTTCGGACGCGCTCGGCTCCCAGACCCTGTGTGGCTCCAGAGCTGCCCGCCCCTCGTCCACCGGCCTCCTCCTCCTGCGGCCGTTCCTCAGCACCCCAGTCGCCTCAAGCGCCCGAGCCGAAAACCGAAACGAGGCGGGAGCCTCAGGAGCGCGAGCGGACCGCAAGGACGGACGTCCTCCGGGGTCTTCGGAGGGCTCCCCTGGTAACCGTCGCCCGGGGGAAATACCCCCGGAAGTCCGTCACACGCCTGCGCCGAAGAATCTCGTCCGCGCCTGCGCACTAGGGCGGTGGGGGGGGGCGGCGCTGGGCATGGGGGACGCGGAGTCCGAGTCGGAGCAGATCCGTCTGAAGTGTATCCGTAAGGAGGGCTTCTTCACGGTGCCTCCGGAACACAGGGTGCGTCGGGGGGCCGCTCGGGGAGCTCTGCCGGCGGCAGGGCGGGCCTGGAACTCCCTGGGGCTCCTGAGAGTCGCACTAAAGCATTGAGGTTTCCGACGCGGGCGGGAACGACAGTCCCAGAGCTCCTGGCGGCCGGCGCAGAAGCCGGCGGCGGGGCTGAGGGACTCCGGGGCTGATGGGGCTCTGGGGCTCCAAGGCTGAGGGCTCCGGGGCTGAGGGGCTGGGGGCCTGAGGGGCTCCGGGTTGAGAGGCTGAGGGAATCCGGGGCTCCAAAGCTGGGGGGCTGAGGGGCTCTGGGACTGGGGGGCTGAGGGGCTCTGGGGCCGAGGGCCGGGTCTGGGGGCAGACCCCGGGGCTATCCCGTGGCCAGCTGCCTGTGAAGAGCGGGCTCTGGGCTCTGGGGGGTTTGGTCGGGGGTCGGGGGTCGCCTCGGCCGCCTGCTCTCCTGGTGCGCTGTGAATGGGCCGGGCCGCGCCCCGCCTGAGAGCCGGCAGCTTCCGTTCGTTTCTTGCTCTGCGTGAGGCCTCTGCATACGGCCCCGTCGTGTGGTCCAGTCAGCGGCCGTTACAGGGTGGGGAGAGTGAAGCTTGGGGGTATGGAGTCGTCGTTGGAGCTCTGGGGGCTGGGCCGGGCCGTACCCGGCGCTCTGAGAGGCCGGTCAGGGTCACGAACGCTCGGTGGCGGTCCTCGGGCCATGGTGCATCCCCCGACGCGCAGCAGGTGCCCGCTGCATTCCCAGGACCGCGGGGCGTGATGGGAGCCCAGACACCCAGAGGAGCAGCCCCGCGTGGTGCTTCTGGCTGCGGAAATAGCAGGATTTCAGAGGAAGAATTGTGTTCAGCTTGGGGGCAGCTTGCAGGACGTTCTGCTGGGCTGGTCCGTGGGACTAGGGTTCTGACGTGCGGAGAGACAGGGAAGCCTGGCGTGCCGACCTGGAATGTCGGGGCAGCGCCAAGAGATGAGAAGCAGCGTGACTCGGCCGAGCCAGGAGTCGTCACGGGAGAGAATGTGAGGAAGAACTGGGGGGCGGGGGGGGGGGGGGGAGCCCGAAGCCACCTCTGGGAAGCGCTCGGTGCCGGTGGTTCCCACCTGTCCCCCGAGTGGTAGGACGGAATGAGATGGAGGCCGATGACGGAGAAGGTGAGAGGCAGCAAGGCCAGAGGGGCTGCGAGAATTGGAGCTTTGCTGCATGTGCTTCTAGCCAAGGGGACATGCCGGTCCAGTACATGGGCAAGCGTCCCTCATCACGCAGGCGTGTTAGCGTACAGGCCTTCTGCTAGGAGTGCAGCCCCAGAAGCAGTGGCTCGAGTGTGGGCTTTAGGGGAGCCTGGTGACTCAGTCAGTCAAGCGTCCAACCTTTTTTTTTTTTTAAGATTTTAATTTGGGTGGGGGTGGACCATGAACAGGGGCGGGGCAGGGGCAGAAGGAGAAGCAGGCTCCCCACTGAACAGGAAGCTCGATGTAGGGCTCGATCCCAGAACCCTGGGATCAGGACCTGAGCTGAAGGCAGATGCTTCACCGACGGAGCCCCCCAGGCGCCCTGAGGATGTCGTGCTCTTTGCTGGGCCTGGAGCTGGCTCAAAATTCTCTCATTTTTCTCTCCCCTAACATCCAGGGAGAGGGAGCTATTTTCCACAAGGTAGGGCCAGGCACTCGTTACCTGTCTTGTAGATCTACCTGCACTTGGTCCAAATCCCACCCTGCTTCAGAGATTGAAAGGAGTGGGCGGCCAACTTCCTTTGACCAGGGAGTCCCTTCCTTGAAGCCCTTGTCCTCTCTGCTCATATCCCATTGGCCAAAGTGGACTGAAATGGACTTGCCTAGCTGCAAAATACAATGGTGGGAAATACAGCCACCTGCTGGGTAGCCACGTGCCACCGGGCTGTTCCCTAACTCAGAGGAAGAAATACTGGGTGGGTGTTGGGGTCAGTTAGTCTCTGCCACAGAAGTGTTTCCATGGCGTTTGGTAGAAGCTTTGTCCATCTCCGGAGCATAATTTAGACTGGTGCCGCTCAGTTTTTTCTGACGGTGGAAATGTTTCCTTCTGTGGACTCTTGATCTTGGGGTTGTGAATTAAAGCCCTACGTTGGGTGTGGACCCTACTTAGGAAAAAAAGAAGAAATGTTGCTTTCTGACTTGTCCAGGATGGTTACCATGAGCCATGTGGCACCGAGGAGCACAACACACATGGCAGCTGAGGAAATGAAATTTTACCGTTAATTCGTGCCAGCCAGATGTGGCCAGTGGTTGTCGTTTGTGGACAGCATACATCTGGACCATGGGATTGGAAGGGAAAAGGCTGTCTGTGGTAGTGCCTACCAAGTGTCTGCTGGCCCAGTAGCATCTTTCCTCTTTTCTCATCTGAACACCCAAGGGTGTGGCTATCTTCGGTTGGTGAGCAGCAAACAGAGTGAGCTCCTCGGTACGGATTAAGTGTTCGGTATCCGTCTCTAGTTGTTCCTTTAGCTGCCCAAGCCCTGCCCTGCCGGCCCCTGTCTTTCAGCTGGGACGGTGTCGGAGCGTGAAGGAGTTTGAGAAGCTGAACCGCATCGGGGAAGGCACCTATGGCATTGTGTGTAAGTGGCCAAGATGGGTGTCCTCGGGCGCAGGGGACTGTCCCAGCAGTAGCAGTGTTAGGGCTAGAAGCAAGTAAACCCTCATCACATGGTAGAAGTTGTGCAGGGGAGCTCTGATCCGTGGTGTAACAATCCTCAGTGCCAGCCTCCGATTCTCGGTGTGGTTGCAAGTGGAGGGAACTGTTAGAGCAGAACCTAGAGCTTCCAGAAGCAGCTGGGGCGGCTTTGTGAAGCGGCCGGGAGGTTGGTGTGCAGCACACTGATAAGGAAGCTTCGCACGTGAGTGCCTTGAAGAGCCTCCTTTGCACAAAATAAGCGTTTTTTCCTAGATAAAGTATCTTATTTGCTGCTGCTTGAACGTAGCAGACAGAAGCCAAAGTGGTGACCTACATCCTGACTCTAAGGAGGAAAACTTGGAGGGAGCTCCTTGTAACTAGCACCCTGTACCCAGCTGTACCCAGCTCAGTGGAGAGGACTCCCCAGAGAGCATGTGTGTGCTGGGGCTGGCAGTGCGGCTTGCACAGTTGGGACCTAGTGTCCCTGGGCATCCGGTTATCAAGAAGAAGAGAATGGGGACCCCCCCAGAGTTCACAACGAGGCCCCTGTGTGGCATAAGGGTGTGTGGTGCGGGATCAAGTAAGATTCCATCATGGGTGAGTTTTCATTCCAGATCGGGCCCGGGACACCCAGACGGACGAGATTGTTGCCCTGAAGAAGGTTCGGATGGACAAGGAGAAGGATGGTGAGCCCACGTGGGAGGGGCAGAAAGGTGCCAGTTCTCTGAGGCTTCCTCTGGCCTGACCACCTCATTTTGAGAGCCACTGCATTAGGGTTAAAGGGGTCCTGTTTCTGGGAGGCTGTAGGCTGGCCTTGCCTCTCCTGTCCTTCCCCAGCCCCTTGTCCTCACCCCCGTACTGCAGGCCTTAGCTCCCCTGCAGTTCGTCTTCTCCCCCCGTGTGGTGACGGCCCTACCTTCTGTCTCCGCCCAGCTGTCACCCCTCCACCCAGCCCTCCCTGCCTAAGACCAGGCTGGCAGCCCCTGTGCTCCACATGCCCCTGATTTCTGCCCACCAGCACCTTCCTGGCTGGCTGTGCCAGCAGGGCCTTGCTGTGCTCAGTGTGGACATGTGTCCTGTTGAGTGGTCAGCACAGAGGGTTGCTGTCTTACATGATTGAATGAAGGAAGAGTTAAAGGTTCCTGTTCAGGTGGTCTTGATTCTCTCTGAGGTTGTGGGCAGAGCCCTGCTGGGGTAGGGGTGCAGCGCACTGAGGAGGCTGTCTGGCTGCAGGGGTCCCCATCAGCAGCCTTCGAGAGATCACACTGCTCCTTCGCCTTCGCCATCCGAATATCGTGGAGCTGAAGGAAGTGGTTGTGGGGAACCACCTGGAAAGGTAGGCAGTCTGCTGGTCCTCTGCACTGGGCCCTGCCGAGCCTGCCCAGCCTGTCTCCTCCCTGTGCTCCCCCCAGATGAAATTCGTCCCTCCTGCAACCCCTTTGGCCTGCCTGGGAGGACGTGAGAGGTGCTCTGTGTCTTCCCCTTTCCTTGCAGCATCTTTCTGGTGATGGGTTATTGTGAGCAAGACCTGGCCAGCCTTCTGGAGAACATGCCGACACCCTTCTCTGAGGCCCAGGTGTGAGGCTGGAGGGCCTGGAGTGGAGGCATCGTCCCATCTACCTTGTGGCACATTTAACTGATGCATCCTGCTTTTTGAGTAGGTCAAGTGCATTGTACTGCAAGTGCTCCGTGGCCTCCAGTACCTGCATCAGAACTTCATCATCCACAGGTAGGAGGGGCCCCAGGTGGGGGATGAGTCTGAGGAGGGTGGGGCCTGGAGGGACGTTTGTCTGGAGGGCAGGTTTGTGACCCATGGGAAGGGAGACCGCCCGTCCTGGCCCCTGGAGAGGAAATGACTTGGCCTCAGTGCCGTTCTGTAAATGTTCCTTGGGGCAAGATCCAGGCCCAAACAGCACCCGCTTTCCCCCCAGGGGAGCTGATGATGGGTGCATAGTCAAAGCTGTGAGAAGTCCTGCAGTGGACACATCCCTCCTGCAGTCTCGTCACACAGACCAGGAAAGTGGGGGACCTTCCAGGCTCAGGGCAGGACTGTGCGAGCAGCAGCTTCTTGTGTCTTATGGCAGCTGGTACAGCCTTGGGTGGGGAGTGGGCACAGGACTGGGTGTTAGGCCCGAGACAGGCACTGAGAGCTGGTCCTCCCGGCTGCAGGTTGGCCGTGTAGTGCCTGCCATCCCCGTGTTTACCAAGTTCCGACAGGGGACATACAGGACAATATTCTGAGTCTGCCTGTGATGGTCACAACCCAGTTGCCCATGGGGCTCGTGTCCTGGGGATCGCTGACGTTCCCTTTCTGTCCCAGGGACCTGAAGGTGTCCAACTTGCTCATGACCGATAAGGGCTGTGTGAAGACAGGTGGGTGCTGGGTGCCGGCGCTGTGGCCGGTGTCTGTGGGAGGCTACCTGGAGCGGGGAGCAGGTCAGTGCTTGCCAGTCCCCTGAGGGCAAAGAGCTGGTTCGCACATGGCAGCTCCTTAGCGCACACACGCCACCCCCCCGCCCCCCGCCGGGTGACACTGCGTCTCCTGCTTCTCCTGCCTTTATCACAGCGGATTTCGGCCTGGCCCGGGCCTATGGCATCCCAGTGAAGCCGATGACCCCCAAGGTGGTCACGCTCTGGTGAGTCCCTCGGATGAGTGCGTCTGGCGGAGGCAGTTTTGGGGGTGATCGTGCTGAAGCCGCACAAGGATCCTGAGGGCTGTGGAGCCTCGAAGGGCCACCCACACTCAGGCTGGGTTGAGCACAGCTTCCCGAGACAGCGGGGCTCTCGGGGGGACACGACATCACGGCAGGGTGGGAGGGCCCTGCCTGGTTCTGAGCCCTCTCAGGCTTCTGTCTGTGGAATGGGGGGTTTACGCAGCTTTCTGTTGTTTTTTCTCACATGCTTTTAAGCAGCAGCAGACCAGGGTTGTAGTTGACCATAGGATGTTGAAGTCCTCTGTCTTGTACCGCGCGTCAGCCAGCTCTGTCCCCGCACTGGGCTGACGTAGACCTGGAGGAGCTGCCCAGCGAAGTTGTTGGTACCGGGCGCGTCGCCCACATTAGTGGGCTGAGAGGATGAGGTGGTCTGAGCTGGGGCTGGCAGTCCAGAGCCCTGGCTGCCTCAGGCTATCAGGAAGGCTGGTGGAGGCCCAGGCTTTACTGCAGGGGACAAGGGGGAGTGCTTGTGTTTGCAGGTACCGAGCCCCCGAACTGCTTTTGGGAACCACCACGCAGACAACCAGCATCGACATGTGGTGAGATGTGAACGTGTCTACCGGGGCCTGGGGGAAGGGCTGGGGTGGGTCCCACGGGGGCTGGCAGGGGCAGGGCTGGGGTCTTTGACAGCCTCCCAGCGCCCGGAGGAGGGGGAGGGCTGAAGCCTGGGATCCCAAGAGGAAGCATGAGAACGTAGCTTCCACAGAAGAAAGGCCCTGCCCTCATGGTCACCCAGAGGGGCCATTTGGGACGGGGTTGCGTCCCATCGTGACCTCCTCCCAAGCTCCACCTGGTCCTGACCCAGCCCTTGGCCTCAGCAGAGGTGCATGAGGTAAGGCCTGCTGTCCTCTGCAGGGCCATGGGCTGCATCCTGGCCGAGCTGCTGGCCCACAAGCCCCTTCTCCCCGGCACGTCCGAGATCCACCAGGTGGACCTGATTGTGCAGCTGCTGGGCACGCCCAGTGAGAACATCTGGCCAGTGAGTGCCTGGCCTCTGCTCTCACCCACCCCCCTGCCCAGGTCAGCCCCATGCTCAGCTCCTGCTCCCTGCAGGGGTTTTCCAGGCTGCCACTGGTGGGTCAGTACAGCCTGAGGAAGCAGCCGTACAACAACCTCAAACACAAGTTCCCGTGGCTCTCAGAGGCTGGCCTGCGCCTGCTCAACTTCCTCTTCATGTACGACCCCAAAAAAAAGGTGCTGACCTGACCTGTGGTTAGGAATGGGGACCCCTCTGCTCGCTTCGGCAGCACATATACTAAAATAGGAATGGGGACCCCTCCACCTCGAGCCCTCGGGAGGGGTTTTCAGAACTCCGGCCGTGCTGCCGCAGAGATGCCCCCTCCCCAGACACAGACGTGGAGGACCAGGTCCCCAATTCGGGTGGTCCCTGCTCACCCAGGTCATGGAGTCCGTTCTGGGTTTCCCATCTGTTTCTGGGCCCCAGACCCATGCTGGCCACTTGCCTTTTATACCAGAGGCTGCGGAGCTGGGTGGGTATGAGGGAAACCAGCCTCAGTGGTCAGCCGCGGTTCTGTTGACATGGAGGCCTCCTCTCCAGGGCAACAGCCAGAGATGGCTTGGAGAGCTCATACTTCAAGGAGAAGCCCCTGCGTGAGTCTCCCACACAGCCCCCGACCTCCACTGATCCCCGCAGGGGGTTCTCTTGTGGCCCTTTCTGTCTGGGGTGGGTGTATTGGGGCACAGCCTCACTCTGCTCCTCGGGCCTCTGAGGGGTGGTGGGGCAGGCCTGGGCAGGCAGGGGCTGTGTGCTGAGGCCCATGTGGGTGCTGTTTGGTCGCAGAGACTGTTCCCTGAGGGGAGCGGAGGGAAAGGTGACCCCAGGGCTCATCACAGATGCACAGTGGGGTTCTCAGACCCAAACGCACTCCTCCTGCAGCCTGTGAGCCGGAGCTCATGCCCACCTTCCCCCACCACCGGAACAAGCAGGCCGCCCCAGCCACGTCTGAGGGTCAGGGCAAGCGCTGTAAGCCGTGACCGGTGGGCCCTCTGCCCGGCCGGCACGACCCTGGTGCACAGCGGTGGACAGCAGTGAAACGGGGAGGCCTCTGCGGTCCAGGCTCTGCAGCGGGTGGAGACCAGCACGCTGCTCCAGCTGATCACACCCCTTCCCCAGAAGAGCGGGGGTGGATGTGGGTGGAGCTACCCGAAGGGGCAGGACGCTCCTGGACACCTGTTGCCATGGCCTCAGCTGGTAAAAGCTCAGGACCCTCCCCTCCCAGGAGGAAACATCTGCGGGGCCCAATTCAGTGGCTGTTGCTGGCTTGGGACGCAGAGACCCTGCATGGTTGCTTGTCCCCTCCTGATCACCAGGGTCTGTCCGGGGAAGGGAGAGGCTGTGGTGCACCACCCCCTCCCCAGGCGCATTCAGAATGGGAAGGAGAGATCAGGTGTGGGCCATATCCCACCTGATAGGCTGTCCCTATCCCTGCACTGAGGCCCAGAGGGGAAGGGGCACAAGTTGGTGCTAACAGGAACTCTGAGAGATAAAAGGTTTTCTTACAGGCGTGAGCAGGTTCAGTGTCCTTTAATGAACTTCAGTGTTCTGACTCCTGTGAGTGCTGGGGGGAAAGGGAGGCGGACAAGCAGGGGGGGCCGAGCGCCACACCTTTCCCCTCTCCCCTCTCGTCCTGTGGCTAAACAGTTCCCAGGGGAAGGGGCTCTGCCCGCCTGTCTTGGCCTTGAGAGTCTGCCTCAGCAGGTGGCTGCTGGAGAGCCTGGCCACGTCTTTACCCCAGACACAGGGAGCATTCTCGGGAGAAGCCCCCGTGCCTCCCGCCCTGCCTTCTGGAGCCTGTGGGGCAGAAAGGCAGCAGCAGGTGGCTCATGGGCGGTGGACCTGACTGCCCCTGCGAGGGGAGTGATGTAGCCTGGCCGGCTCCACTAGCTGCCTCCTTCCCCCGCTGCCCGTGCTCTGGGCTTTTGGGGAGCCTTCTCACTGAGATCAGACCATTTCTTCCCCCACATGTGGACCAAACTGCCCGGTGCAGCCCGTCTCAAGCCAGGCCGCAGCTGGTTCAGCACTGGCTTAGGACACCACCAGGCCAGGGGCTAGGTCAGCCGTGGCCCGGCAGAGACCCCAGACTGGCCACAGTGGTGCTCCATGGCCAAGGACACCCCTGTGAGGAGAATCTCCCCTGGACACGGGAAGCCGTGTTCTGAGGGACAGCGGTAGGGATCAGGTCAAGGGCTACAGGCTGAGTGCTGGCCCTACAGTGGGGCGGGGAAGGAGAGGGGAAGAGGAGGAGGGGCCCTCATTGGCTCTAGGCTGGGCGGTGAGACTCCCCCACGGAGCACATTTGGACACAGGCCTGGATGTTGGGCGCAGGGGTAGGGAGCAGGCCAGGCCAAGGCAAGAGCTTCTCATGGAAGGCAGGACCCCACCTCCTGCCTTGCGAAGCCTGATTCCCCACCTTGCTGTGCTCAGGAGTCCCCAAGGGGCAGGGTGGCCGGGGGCTTAGGCCTGAAGAGTGATGAGGCCCAGAGAAGCACCACAGAAACAGTCTCTGGGAGGCCCTTGATGCAGGGCCTGGCTGGGCTTAAGGTTGGGCCCCGGGTCCATCATAGAGCAGGGTGTCCACCTGTGCACGCCGCAGCCATAGGCGCCGCTGGGTGTCACTGAGCAGTGGGCGGAGTGCATGGCCTGGACGGCAGGTGGGCAGGGCAGCACAGTGGGACGCATGCAGCTGGCGACATGTGTCACAGCAGAGGCCGGGCAGGGCCCCAGGAGCTAGGCAGCTATGCACCTGGTAGCCAGGGGACTGGGGGCTGGCCTGCCTGGGGCTCCCTGGGGTTTGGGGGACAGCCATGTCTCCAGGCTGACTCAGCAGCTCTCGCCGCAGGGAGAGAAAGGAGAAGGCCTCAGGCTCGGGCTCCAGCTCCTCCTCCAAGGCCCCATAGGGTGGGCTGCTGGCCTGCCGCAGCACCTCAGCCTCCCCCAGGGGCTCCCAGGCCCCGCCTCCAGCCCCCCACAGTTTGGCGCTCTGCTCCCAGAGTGCAGGGCCACAGGCCAGCTCGGGGGGCGGGGAGTCAGGGCCTGGGGAGGCCCCCCCATACAGGCTGGCTTCCTCCGAGCCCTCATCCTCCTGCAGGTCCCGGTAGAGGTCCAGAGGGGTCCGGTAGACAGTTGGGGAGCCCCGGGGGGGGCAGAGGCGGCGGCTCCTCTTCCCGGGCCAGCCGCTGCTGGAGCCAGGCCACACAGGAGGCCACGTCTGCACTGGCCCGCCGGGCCTGCAGCAGCTCCTCAGCCGGCAGCACGCTGGTGCCCAGACGCGCGAGCACCTCACCCAGGATTTCACACTCCAGCCGGAGGGCAAAGCAGCCCAGGGCCACTTGCAGCAGCTGGCAGGCAGGGGGCAGGGCAGCCATCATGAGGCGGTGGTTGTCCCTGGGCACGTAGCCCATCTTCTGGAAGCTCTGGAGGAGGAGGTCCTCTGAGAGAGCGCCCTTGAGCACATGCACGTAGCCCCCTGAAAAGGTCTGCGGAGGAGGGTTCTGGTCAGCAGCAGCCCGCCCGAGACCCGACCCACGCTCAGGCTCCTCCTAGCCTTGGCTTCCCCCAGAACCAGGCCATTCCCGGCTGGGCTGACACTCCCTTCAGAAGGGCTGCTCAACACACACTCCGACCCACCCCTGCAGACCCGTGTTCATGGCGGGGGCAGGCCCAGCTTAGAAATCCAAACAAGGTAAAGAGCCTCCACATTCAGAAATCTAAATTCAGTGGCGTCTCGGGTCTCCGTCAGGTGAGCTCTTTCCCCCGCTTAGGTCTCTGGTCCCATCAGGTCCTAGATGTTGTCTCGGGCTCAGCAGGGAGTCTGCTTCTGCCTCTCCTCCCCACCCCCCCACTCCTGCTCCCACTCACTCTCTCAAATCTTAAAAACAAAACACCTCACTTCCCTTGGGGTCTCCACCTCCTGTCACCCCTGGGGCTTTGCTGAGATTGGGTCATGCAGATACAAATGGGGGTGCTTATCTGCTGTTCTGAACCCCACCTTCCCTCTTCCTGTTCTGGAGAGTTTCCCCACTGGGACAGAGCTTAGCCAGTTGTTTTTCCCAGCTGTGAAGCCTTCTATCAGGTAGATGGAGGCTCTAATGTGCGGCTGAGCTGAGAACCCTGGAGGCCAGATTTTCGGGAAAGTGCTCTCCAGGCTGCAGTCCTGTGAGGGCCCGGAAGGCTTGGAGGATGACAGTCCTGTGACACAACCAGTTCTAAAATTCCAGAACTCTGGGATGCTGTCAGCATTCCTCTGCTGACAGCTTCTGGGGACACCTCCCGTAGACTGAGCACTGCTGTGGGCAGGGACTGTACTTGGGGGTTTGCCTTCACCCCTCACAGCAGACCTGGACCCTGCGCTGTCCTTGTGTCTGTTTCACAAATGAGGACACGGCTCAGAGAGATTGGGTAACTGGCACAAAGCCACAGAGCCAAGAGAAAGCAGAACCAGATCCCAACCATGTCTGCCTGACACCAAAGCCCAGGAGCACCTCAAGTGCAGGCCTGTCCCTCTGTTCTTGGCTATCTGTGGATCTGGGGCTTGAGGGTGCCTCCCACCCTGTTAATCTGAATGAACATGGCCTAGAACCTCTGACCACCAGGTGTCCCCATGAAGCAGTGAGCTCCAGAGCTCGCCTCTGGAGAGGGAGAGGAGGAGAGAAGGGTGGGGTGAGAAAGAGGGGAGAGGGAAAGGGAGGGAGGGAGGGAAGGAGGGAGGTGGGTACGGAGAGGGAGAGAGAGAGGGAGGCTGCTGCTGCCATGGCAACCAGCGGAGGTGGACTCGCCCACGTGCCCAATGACATCAGCACCTTCCTACTCTTCCAAATTAGCTTTGAGGGCCAAACGTCTGGCCCTCCTGCAGGCCAGCAGCTTATGCCATGGGGTGATCAGTGCAGACCCTGGGGTGTGCAGGGCCTCCAGCCCCTACCTACTTCACAGGGGATACACCCACTCGAAGTTCTCTTCTGTAAATGGGGCCATGGAAGGATTAGGGTGACTGTGGAACATCAAGTTCCTTCTATAACCCCTGTCCTGGGATTTCTGTGCTGCAGGGGCTGTGAGGCCACTTTGGGGGAGGACAGTGATTCAAGCTTTGTGGAGCAAGGATCTCCCCAGGATGCAGGCACCTGGGGCGGTGGCCTCCACCCACACCCTGTTTTCAGCCCTGGGACTGCCAGGTGGGTGGGGGAACGACCTTGGTCAAAGCTGCCCCAAAGTGCCCCAAATCCCTTCTGAGCCCCGGAGACCCACCCAGCTCTGAAGACCTCTGAAATCCCTTGTTCCAGTGGTAGCCTCTGCCCACACGGTACACAGCAACCCGAGCAGGGGCGCCTCCTCCGCCCGGCGCCATACCTTAATGGTGGAGAACTCTTTCCTCCAGGGCAGCAGGTACAGGTGCACAGCAGCCAGCTCCAGTAGCTCGAAGGCGCGGGCCAAGCCACGCAGCGCTGGGGCCAGGTCAGCGCGGCCCCACAGACCATCGGTGAGCAGCGCCAGCGCGTCGTCCTGCAGCGCCCCGTGCAGGTCGAAGTCTTCCACCAGGATCTGCCACAGCACCGCGCGCAGCGATGGGTCCCCGCACACGCCCGCGCGGCCACGCCGCAGCTCACGCTCCAGGCACAGGCGGTAGTCCTCGGACAGCGAGCTGCTGCCCATTCTGGCGGGCGGGGGTACGGGGTCAGGAACCAGACCTCTCCCCGCCGGCTGTGCGCCACCCCCCACCATCCACATATCCCCCCTCCGGCCTGGTGACCCTGTCCCCTCCGGCTGTGCGGCCCCCCATCCCCCCCGCATCCACATGTCCCCCTACAGCCCGGCGACCTCGCCCACTTAGCAGCTCCGAACAGAGACCCCCCACCCACCTCGCCCACCAGATCGTGCCGTGGGCCCCGCGAGCGACCGCTCGGCCCAGCTGAGCCCAATCGGCCGCCTCTCCTCGGACCTGTCCAGCTGCCGCGCTCTTCCGGCGCCGGTGGCTCCGCCCATCGGCCCCGGCCGTGACGCTCGGGGCGGGGCTTGCGTCGGGCACCGCCCCCTTGGCTTACCCCGGGCGGGGGCGGGGCTGGGGGCGGGGCCTTGTGCCGCTCAGCTGAGCACCTGCCCCCGCATCTGCAGCCTACCTGGCACCCCGCGGCTCGCGCGGATCCTGGCGCGGCACCGCGGGCCGGCGCTCGGCGGGCGCCCGCGGAAACGTGCGTCCCAGCTGCCCCTCCCTCTGAGCTAGGCCTTGGCAGCGCCAGCCGGGGAAGCAGGTGCTCCTCGCGCGCCCCGGGCCGGGCCCAGAGCTCCCCGTGCGCACGGCGGGTGCGCTTCGACGTGGTTATGCGGCAAGCAGCCTCAGGTGGGTGCGGCGGCCTCAGAGTCTTTCTGTGGTTTCAGATTTCTGGTCCCTGAGAGCAGCATCTGGGGGGCCCGGAGGCGGGGTGGAGGCCCCTCCCTAACTAGGCCAGCCTCGTTTCCAGGCGCCTGACCCGTGCGCTAAGGCCACTCGTGCGGAGGAGGGATGGGAGAAGTTTAGTGCTTGGGGGATCCCAGCTCAATGCAAGGAAGGTCTTCCGCAGACCTTCCTCCCTGGTCAGGTTCTGCCCCTTGATTTCTGGGCCCCTCAGCTCTCCAGACCACTTTTTGAGATGCGACCTGCCTGGGAGTTTTTTCTCTTAAGGAATTTCCACCTGGCATTTCCCTGCGGGTGTATCTTCAGATACTTCAAATGGGACTTTTAGAAAAACACTGTAACCAAGCGGGGGATCTCCTTGAGACGCTTTGCGGACCACCGCTCAGCACAGAGGCATTTCACTTACCCTGGACTGAACCCTGCCCTAGGGCCACACCCACCCCGAGGAGCCAGTTAACTTCTGGTCATCTCTCCTGCTTGTCCGCAGAAGACTGGAGCTTAACCACTCTTTTCCGTTCGCCACTGAGTTCATCGGGTCTTCGGACGCGAGGCCTCTGGGATTGCGTTCATCCGTGGCCACGCCCCCAGCCCTGCGATGACTGCTAACAGCCTCGGCGCAGAGTCTGACAGAGCGTGCAGGACTGGGTCTCCGACTCCAGGGAGATGGGGTTCTGACGCCGCTGTGTGGGACTCGGGGCGACCCCTCCCAACTGCTTGCTACTCAAGGGCACGCGTGGCTCTTCTCTGTGGGTCACCGGAGCCCAGGCAGGTCTTCGCACCTGTTTCCACCCATAGGATGGAAGTGATATTGTTTGGCTTCCCAGGTTAACTCCTTAAAACGCCTTGTTGTCTTGAGCTGTTTGCTCTTGGAATCCAGCCATCATATTGTGGGAGAGCTGGCAGCACATGGAGAGACCTTGCACTGGGCTGAATAATGTTCCCCAGATCCGCACCCCCTAGAACCTGGGAATGGGCACTTGTTTGGAAACAGATTCTTTGCGGATATAATCAAGTTAGGGTGAAGTCATGCTGAACTAGGACGGGCCCTAAATCCCAAACAACTGATGCTGTTGTAAGAAGACAGGAGTCCAGACACAGCCTGTGGGGAGAGGCCTGTGGCGATGGAGGCGGAGGCTGGGGCTCTGCCTACAGCTACCAGCCCAGGACTGCGGAGCCAGGAAGCTGAATAGGCAAGCGAGGGTTCTGCTCTAGGACGCTGAGGGTACGGCTCCACCAGCATCTTGAGTTCAGATTCTGGCCTGCAGAACTCGAATAAATTTCTGGTTTTCACGGCACTCAGTTCATGGCTGCAAGAGGAAACGAAAGCAGGCCTCACCTGATTCTGAGAATGGAGCTGTGAGTCCTGACCGAGGTCCTAGCTCTAGACAAAGCTCTGGATGATTCCAGTCCCTGACAGTGGGTCACCCAACCTGGAAACTGACCTAGTTGATACTGGGGGTGCAGAGATGGGCTGTCCCCACTGAACCATGCCCAGATGGAAGGGTCTGGAGCAAAGTACAGGACTTCTGTTGTGTTGAAGGCAGCGGTGGGTGGGGGGGTTGTTACCCAGCAGTCCGTGTGGGACCACGAGCCTCTTTCACACTCCACCTCCACCCTCCTGGGGCTGGATGCGGCATTGTCTGACTTCCTCTGTGTCCATGCCGCTTGTGACCTGGTTGGAGGGTCATTTGGCATTTGCGTTGGCCCAGAACTGCAGCTCGTTCTCGAAGCTGCTGCCCAGTACACCCCACCCTGTGTGTACGGTTTCCAGCTCCTGGTTGCCACCACGCTCAGCGTTGCCCAGGTTTGGATTTTACCTGTATAGTGCACGTGAAATTCTACCTTGTTACTGTGTTAATTTGCGCTTCTTGATTTTCAGAGTTTTGAACACTTTTGGTGCTAATTAGCTTTTTAAAACTTTCTTTTGAAGGTGCCTGGCTGGTGCAGTTGTTTAAGCGTCTGACTCTTGATTTCGGCTCAGATCATGATTTCAGGGTTGTGAGATCGAGCCCCACATCAGGCTCTGCACTCAGTGGTGGAGTTGGTTTGAGATTCTCCCTCTCCCTGTGCCTCTCCCCGATTGTGCATGCCCACTCGCTCACTCTCTCCAAACCCAAAAACTTCCTCCTCTGTAGATGGTCTCTTCACAGGCTTGGCTATTTTTCTATTCGGGAGTGCTGCCTTTTTCTTGTTGATTTGCAGGGTTTCGGGGGGATGGGGAGTGGATTACTCATCCATTTTATTCAGGAGCCGTGGACTCAGCCTGAGGGCAGTGCCTGGAAGAGGGTGCGGAGGAGACAGCCCACATGGGGCCCATCCCCAGATGTGTGGTCCCCAGCACCAAGCCAACAGGTACCTGCACCGTCAGGCTCAGCTGAAGACACCCCTTCATCCTCCATCGGCTCTATGAAGCGGCCTTTAAAATCCCGTCCTGGAGATGTTAATGCCAAGGACTAAAGCCTGGATGTTACCTTCCTTTCCCAAGGCTCCGTGGTGGCTAGGATTCTCATCCAGGTCTGGGGTGCTCAGAACTCTACACTTACGAGAGCATAAGCAGAATGTCAGGGGGTCCAAGGGCAGAGCAAGGGTGGGGAGACAAAGACAAGGGGATGGGTGTGTGCTGGCTTGTTTGCTCCAGGGACACTGGCAGGCAGAGGACCCCAGGCCACAAAAGTTCCTGAGAGACAACAGCTGTCCCGGGGATTTGGGTTGGCCTGCCCCAGCCCACTGGGCCCAGCACCCGACCGTGGGGTCTTGACCGCAGGTGCCTGTTGGCCTCCTGAGTTGGCCTGCTGAGCTCAGACCAAGTCTGCCGTCATGAGATGTAGCCCAGAGAAGATGCGTCCCCTGTTCTGGACTCAGTTCCTCATGGAATTCCTGGGCAGACAGACCTGCAGAGCGCCCAGTAAGCACCAACTGCTGTTGCTGTTTCCCGAAAAGCCTTCCCCCGGGGCACCCGCACACTGCTCCCATCGCTGGCCCCTGCGTGGCTGCGCCCAAACCCCCTGCCTCGGTGGTAACTCAGGTTTGCCAGGGGCCCCTCCTTCCCTGGCAGATGCTGCCTGCGGCTGGGGCTGGGCTGCCTCCTCCTCTTCAGGGATGACACAGACCACAACTAAGGGCACCCACCATGTGTTTCCCACCCAGAGAAAGATGCTTCCTGAGAGCCCTTCCTGGAGCCAAGAGGTCCAGTCCCAGGTCCTGCCCAGCCCACTTGGCCCTACAGAGCCTGTCCTGTCCTGGGGGTGCAGCCCCGTGGGGTCTGGGAGCTGGCCTCTGGGACAGTCCGGCTCTTGCTGGTCAGCGGGGTGGGGGGCTGTGCTTCTCGGGCCTCCACGCGGCCAGTGGGGTGGTGAGCATGCACGCTGGGGGCTTAAGATACCAGTGACCTCTTTATTGTTAGCGGTGTCAGTGGCTTCCTGGGGCATGTGACAGAGTGGACACTGGGCGGCAGACAGGCACTGACCCTCAGGTTCACCCTGACCCAGGAGGGGACATGTGGGGATGGAAATTGGCCAGGGGTCCCCGCAAGTCCAGTGCTTACCACGCCAAGGAATGGAGCAGCTCAGAGGCCCCAGACACAGGTGGGAGCCCTGGGTGTGCCTGGGCTCCTGGGCAGAATGGAGTGATCAGTGCCCAGTAGTAAATAGTATGGTTTCAAACCACCTGGGTCCCACTGGGTGGGAGGCAGCGGGTGGGGACAGGCCCTCTTCTTGACCCTAACCAGACACCAGTGCTGGAACTCACTGTCACAGGGAATGGGAAGGGAGAGAAACCACACCTTGCCCTCTGCCAGGCCCAGGGTCCCCTCCCGACCATGGAGATGCGGGGCTGTGAGGAGTCGCGTGTGGGTCCCAGGGGAGTCCAGCGTCTGCTGCTCCTGCATGGAGCCTCTCAGGCCTACTTCCTAGGAGCTGGTTGAGCTCAGCTCTATCCTCTGAGGAACAGAGGTGTCTCGTCAAGTCCCTGGGGACAGATGTCAGGTTAGGGCAGGTGTGAGAGCAGCAGAGCCCCAGCACAGCTGGCCTACTGCCCCTCAAGAGCGGGTGACTCCTGGACGGTCCTCAGCAGGTCGTGTCCTCCTCTACTTGCCCAGAGCCCCTCGGGGAAGCAGTTCCACGTAGTTCAGGGCACTCTGCAGTGAGGTCAGGCAGTAGCCCTCCTCTCCAATCAGGTACCTGTGCAGAGGCAGGCACAGGCAGCGCCTGTCACCTCCAGGGGAAGCAAGGAGGCCCCCAGCATTTTGGAAGGGTGTCTGCCCTCATGGGGACGTCCAGGGGACAAAGCCCTGGGTGCTAAGGTCCCCCAGGTGTCTGTCAGGGAGACTGGGCTAGAGGACAGCCCACTACCCAGGCAGATGCTACTCAAGAGACAGCCCCCCAGTTCCTGTCTCAGCAGTATGCCAAGCAAGGGGTGGTGGGAAGGGGCTGGAAGGAGGGACCACGGGCTTCATGTGCAGGTGGACCCCCGACCCGGGAGCACATGCCCAGTGCCCATGCCGGCCCAACTGCAGCTGGGGGCTCCTACCCCTCATGGATGAACTCCTCCAGGGCCGCGCACTCCGACACCAACTGGGGGAGGCCACTTCTCAGCACCACAAAGGACAA